TGGGGTGACAAAGTTCTGGCCCACAAGACAGAGAATTAACTTCACAAGGGGAGCCCCAAGGGAGCAAGATGTGCTGTGAGCCTATGGGAAGCAGAACATAGGTGACTGATGGCGCACTGAAGCCTGAGTGCGACACCTGGACTGCCTGTCACAGTCCCAAGTAGAAAAAGCGACATTTGACAGGATGGAAGTTGAGACTGCAACACCACAAGTCAGGACCAGCTGACAGGAAGGATGAGAGGTGTGCAGTTCAACTCAATGATTCCCCCAATGCCTTTTCAATCTTGTCAGCCTCCTATTTCCTCTCCTTTTCTTTGTCAGCATGACCCTTTAAATAAACCATGGTCCGGAGGAGGCTGAAGCTATCAATTAGAGTCATCTTGATGAGCCTGTGAGGATATTAATAAGTAGGCGTGTGACAGAATGGGATGAGAGATCTCAAACCGGCAGGCCCTTGAATTTCCCGGTCTACATCACTAAGCTAAACCGATACCCAATTATGTCTTCTTCGTCGACAAACTAGCAGAGCAGCTGCGAGTTGAAGAGTCTTGCCATGTCAGAACTGGCCAGGCACGTGCTGGAGAAAGCCAAAACCTTGAAGGAGATGTCACAAGATGGCTGGAGTCAGACGCTTGAGTGAACGATGGTCCCCACGCTTGCCTGAAAGCATGACATTGCCAAAGGGGAAAAAAAAAAAAAAAACACCATTTTATCATTCAGTGCAATCCGTGCCCTCTCTCCCTGTCAAACATGCCATATGTCCCCGTCACAGGTCGTCTTGCTGCCTTATCGGGTGTGACAGGGCTATTCACACACTGCTCCCAATCAGACACCATCTCCTGCAGGAAAAAAAAAATGCCCACTATGGTTTGGTGACAGGCTGTCAGGCAGAGGGCAGCAACCTCCACAGGGCTTCGGCTGAGAGGCCGCCCATCTGGGGAACGGGCAGAAGCTAGGGGTCACAAAGGGAGTCACAACGTAGACGTGCGCAAATACGCACTCTCCTTATACCTCATTCAGCCGACAACATCTAAAGCTTGATAAAAGCTCATATCTGATTCAGAAACATGGTGACATGAAACAAATGTGTTACCTTAAGTTCTTTTGGGAGAATAGACCATATCGCACTCTGCCACCATCCAAAAACTGATCCATACTTTTTTTTTTTGCCTTTTCTGAATGAACAGAGAAACAACCGCATGCAAATGATGACTCCGTCGACCTGACTACAGCTGCTTGTCCCACCTCCCCGACGGACCTTCTCAGATGTATTGAATCTTGACGGAAACACAGAACGATTGGACGGGATCAGGTTGGGGAAGGACACACAATGATATTGATCTGGTAGTCTGACAGTGCGACCATCGTGAACCACAAAAAGGTTGTGTAGTTCGACAAGGCCATATGTGCAAGGTCGCAAGCAAGTCTAAATTCTTACCCGTCAAGTTTCAAGATTGTCCTAAAACACTTGTGGATGAAACAATCACATTCAGACTCACGTTAAACAGGAATTAGCACACATCTCAATCACTCAGTCGGGTGGCTCTTTGAGAACCGCTGACTCGGTTTAGTGAAAAAGATGACAACTGCCCTCTTCATCATTAAAATAAAAGTTATGTTTCAGGTATTAACAACTTCAGTCTGCGAACGTCAGATGACCAAACTCAGAAAACAGGTGAGCGGTGATTTCATACCTGAGCAACTATGATGTCATTTTCAGTCGACAGAATGTGGCAAAATGCCCGCCCCCTTATATGGACAAAAATGGATGGATTTTGCTGCTTAATCCATAGTCCACAAATATTAATTAGACTAGTGGGGGCGCATAGAACATTATTGGAAAGAAATTTTGGGGGTTGACTTCCTCCACTGTACTTTTCACGTTTTCAAATTCTCGTGTGACACGACATGCAGAGATTACTGTTCAAGTCTGATTGATGGCGTGTTAAGGCATCTCTGCACTTGCTTCCATATGTTTACTTTTGCGCTAAGGCACACCCCTTTGACTTGGTGGCTCCTTAGCTCAACACACAATAACGCTGTAGCAGCTGAATGCATTTCCTAAGTGAGCAATCAGTTGCAAAGTGGGCTAAAAAGCACACTTATCACCCCTGCGATGATACTAAATGGGCGAAGCAAAAGGAGCAGTGGGGCAATGGGGAGTAGTGTTATTCCCTGATTTGAGTTATCTCGCGCAAAGAAGTGGAATGTGTCACCTCAACTCCTGAAAAAAAAGACAAGCCTCCGAGCAGACATTTTATGAAACATTTTCTGTGAAATGATTGCTAATCTATGCAAGAAAGCAATCAGCGGCTCATTCATAATGCATGAGCGACGAGATACCAGTTTTGCAACGCTTTTGGATTATTAGATGTTATCTTGCATGCAGCAGCTGAAATATGAACACCCCTACCTGTCCTATTGTAATTACATGACTGCAGAGGTCTACCGACAAAGTGGTGGTGAGGGAAGAAAGATGCAGAAAAGTGCGACAGACAAGTCAGAGCATCCATTACAATGCGAGTGCAAATAGCTGGAGATGGGAATATTTGTTACTAACGGTTTGGTAAATCCATTTGTGCCATTATACATCAACCTAAAAGCAGTTCCTCTTAGTACATCAGACTGATGTTTTAATGGTCCATCAATCACCGCTGTCATGTGATAACATTTTGAGATCATCCTCCTCCTCCCTGAGCCTCTAATGGTGGTGGGAGGATGAATCTATTGAATTGGCTGCAATCCCAGTGAAATGATGAGAACCTAGCTCTAATTCAAAGCAAGTTCAAAGTGGGAATGTGATGAAATGATTAGTTGTTCCTCAAATTAATGCAAATCAAATTTCATTGAGGATATTTTAGTTCCAAAGACTTGAGTGCACTGAAGAATTTTTGGTGAAAGTTTCGACCCCATTTTGAAGCTTACACAAATATATACACTGTATATATGTGTGTGTGTGTGTGTGTGTGTGTGTGTGTGTGTGTGTGTGTGTGTGTGTGTGTGTGTGTGAGAGAGAATCGGATAAATCACTGTTAAAATTAAAAATTTTAGGAGTGCACAACTGACTAAATGTAATGAAAAATATAATGATGCCTTTCTCGTGATTTGGATTCAATTTAAGCAAAAACATCCATGTTTCATCGTGGTACATTCTAGCTGGCTTCAACACAAGTGTTTTTTTTTTCCTTCAATGATCCAGAGCAAGGATGAAGGGTGCTATAAAAAATCAATGAGCCTTTTCAAAGGCAACAAGAAAGAAAGGTGCTTTTGTCTACAATTAAACAAGTGCGCTAGTGGCACTGAAGTATGACAGTGTGTTGCAGGTACCTGCTTCACAGAATCAATTACTGGATCAATACAATGACATGATACAATTCTGTGATGGAGAGAAAAATAGGAATGTGGAACTGGAAGTCAAAGTGTGTTCAAGGTGGCAGATGTTTACAACAAACACAGTCCGCAGGGACTCTCCACAGAGGGGCCAGTCGAGAGCAATGTGCCTGACATCCAACCAACAATCAAATGTCAGGAACCTTAGAAGAAAAATATGAAGGGGTCACACATTCTCAGATGATTCCAAAGGCAGGTGGAAGAGAGTCATGCTATGCTAATGCTATGCTGTCCGAAGCATTTTTGTAGAAATATCTTCCTTGGATTTGTAAAAAATCTATTTTTAGCAAGTACCATTTATACTGTGGTGGTTCACGGATATATTGTTTCCATTTCCTTTATATTTAGTTAAGTGAAGTAGTTGCAACTCCACTGAAGCACTTTTCTCACAAATTCCTGTTAGAATGGTCAACAGGCCCCTTGAACAAGACTGCCATTGTTAAAAGCTGGTAGACAGGTTAAGGTTACAGAACATGTTCCAAACGTATGGTTATGTATGTATGTCATCCCACATACTGTAGTATGATAGCAAAGCTGATTATGTAGTTTGCAAACGTTTGAGTTTTAAAATGGGTACGGCGATAAGGACAACACATAACTTACCCCTGACACTCAATGCACTCAGTTGCTTGGCAATGCACTAAAGCCTCCCACCCCGGTCCCCCCCGGGAAGATCATGCACAACATCATGATGTTGATGTTTCTTGTCTCTATGAGGGCTGGGGAAAATGGGCCCTGCTGAGCTGATTTCTATGTCCCATTCTGGCGCAGCTACTGTAAATGTGTAACATTAAACTGTTGTCTTGGATAATATAAGATGACAAGACATTGTGAGGCCTGCGAGTGTCGAGTCGCACATGTAAACACACTTTGCAGAAAGTCACTGAAGCTCCTGTTTGTAAAACCGGCGGCCATCAGCGACATGACATGTTGTCAGTCAGCTCCAGTTGCGTTTTCAAACTTAATGGATCCTGACAAGCTCTCCAGCCACCCACTGGGGGTCCAGAGGCAGAGCGCCCTTGGAGAGCATGACCACTCAGCACATTCAAATTTTAACATTTCATTCGTCAATCCATCTTGGTAAAATTAATTCAACATCCTCGATTCTGATCCGTCCACACAAAACTGCATTCAACACTGTATAGCCTTCATTTCTCTGCTCTTTAACTCACTCCTGGGACAGAACTTGTTTTTTTTAATCAAATCCCTCCAACTCAGGCATTTTCTGTTTATCCTTGGACCCCTTTTGCTCCACTTCCTGTATTATCTGAAATAATCTTACGGCTTTCTTAGATTCTATTCATCAGAGCAGAAAGAAGCACGGGTTGACGTTGACTTAAAGAAAAAAACAAAACAAACAAACATCTGTGGCTCACAAGAGAAAAAAAAGGGAGACTAAAAGAGTGATGCGCTTCAAATGAAACAGATTCTGTTGTCTCACTCTTGCCCTCCCCTCCTTCTTGTCGATGCCGGTTCAATTGAAAAGTGCAGTGGTAATTAAATTCCAGCAGGAGGTAGGGGGGCAACTGTGCAGTGTTTTGCCAAGCAGGGGTGTGGAAGATTGGGGACGGTGATGTTTGCTGAACATAAAAATGACACAATCCAAGGGGTCAGAGGGGGCGCCAGGCAAAAAGAAAGGGAGGGTGACAAATGTCATTTATTCAAATACACCGCGGCGCTTAATCTTCATGACATTTAAAGGTGGGGGGAAAAAAAGATGGATATTCAAAAACTTGTAAATCCCAGTGTGACCTTTTTCCAAATCAGTAATACTCCAAACAGATCCATCTTCTGTATGTGCAGCCTTTGCAGTATAATGTTTGATGATTTTGAGGCTGAGAGATGTTCGGAAGACAAAGAGGAGATTACAAGGCGTACAAAAAGTTTTGTTTTAGCTGAGCCTAAAAATGTCCAAAGCAACTCATTCACTTTCATGATTGTTTTGGTACAGTACAATCAAAAGAGTGCAGCGCTGCACTAAAGTAAATAATTAGTCAGGGACGCTCCATAAAGGAAAATGTATGGTACTGTATCGCCATCTGGCGGACAAAAGGGACTACATAAAATTACCAGTTGGATAAGATTCATGAATTTCACCATGAGTCCATTTTTGCTCAGTTTGAAATTGTCCCTTGCTTCACTGGAGCGGCTGAGCAAACCGCAAGTCTTGTTGCATGTCTAAAATGTCCACTTGCACATCCTTGGCTATGTCTTAATAACGGTTTAAGATTCCTAAAATATCCTCCTTGACAGAGAGGGGGGAATGCACTTGGACACCAGGCCCGCCAATACTTGTTTCCCAGCAGTCAAAGTCGCAGTCTTTCAACTCCTGTATCGTAGTCTGGACTACACTGGAGTCCGTTTCTACAAATAAAAGGCAAGTCATGATTGTAGACACTGAGAGAGGAGGCATAAAAAAATATAGTCAAGCCCCATTTATCGCGGGAGATAAATTCCAGGTCACCCGCAGGTGAAAATCGACAAATAAGAGAGACCAAATATACATCTTTTTATATAGTTTTTCCCCTCCTGAACCCACTTAAACTTATAAAAAATTTTTTTTACACACACTGTATTTGTAATTGTATTTGAATTAAAATAAAGTCGTAAACATACTGTATGAATCGTGGTAACTGTGAGACATGCATACAAGAGGCAGGGCTCTGCGGGGTAGCGCGCAACCTCGCTGAGTTTGCGCATCTGAGTGTGAGCTGTAGCTGAGAGCAGACTTAATTGTGTTTGTGTTTAGCTAGTCTTCTCACATTAAATAAATGGCTAAAAAGTGCATCAGAAACTGTGGCTCTCTCCATCTCTGCCACACACGAGGACATTACAGTAAATGTCAACACCCATAAAAAATTTAAAAAAAAACAATCGCTTTAAAAAAATGCGACATCGCAGGGTCGTGAACGAACCGTCCTATTGCAGGAGAAAACTGTACATCCTACTAGAGATCATATAAAACGTCCGGAGTTTTCTAGACAACTAACAACTACCTACCTGGTCTCAGAAGAGTGATGCCACAGCCCCCTCCTCCTGCGCCTGTTAGCTTGCTGTGGAGACCCTTGGCAAGCGTGACCCGACAGAGGGTATCCAGGGCAGGATGTCCCACCCCCATTACATTTAAATGATGTTGGTTGATATCAATGAGCTCCTAGAAATGCAATGACAAAAAAGTAAAGCTGACACTTCTGTACTATTACTGAACGAATGTAATCAAATGTTTGACCCTTGATAAACTCTATCTACATTATATTCTGTTATATAACGCACGTTTCCAAATCCTAACAAATGAGATGTTAAAGAGCATACCTCTAAAACATTGTAGTGCTCTCCTGTGATGGGCTCACAGGTCATCTCAAGGAGGACTCTCTCACAAGTGCAGGAAATGGCGTCCACCGAGTCCAGCACAGTAGTCAAAATGGTGGGAAACTATGGGAATTGGGAGGGGGGGGGGTGTTAAAGGTTATTAACATTTACTTAAACTAACTCAAATTTGTTTTTTAAGAAGTTATGACTTCTCATTACTGAAAAAAAAAGGTTAAATTGCACTCGCCTGATCACAACACTGCCACACAACACGCAGGCTAATGTGTGAACACCTGCTGTTGTCACCAAGGCAACAGCACACAGGGGGACTAGCTAAGAGTTTAATTTCAATATTTTATGACAGCACTCAACACTAGGCTCTGGAGTATGTTCCATACAAAGGAAATGTCTCCGATATTAATTATAACATCAGCAGGTAACGCAGAGGGGGAGGGGAAAACATTTAGTACCTTGTTAATTTTGTCCTTCACCCTGGCAACAAGTACCTTGGTGCTCCGTGGCACTTTAGTGTTAGTGAGGAGGATTCTTAATAATGGCACCCTGGAAGTCAAGCAAAGCACAGAAAAGAGGGCTGAGCTAAATTTGTTCTTCATGTGCCCTGCTGAGACGACAATTTATTCCCACCGACATTAATTTTGGGAGAAAAATATGTGCTGCGATTTTATGAATCCACTCTGCGGAGTTTAATCAGTGTCACTACCTGCTCAGTGGTATTATCCTCCCGGCTAAGAACCTCAGCATGCCTCCTGCACAGAAACAAATCAGTCATTAAAGAGATAATCATCTGATGATAATGAACAGTGTTGCTGCACATAATACTCCAGTGACTCAATTAAAAGAGTGTCCAAGGAGCCACAAAGGTGTCACACAATACGCACGACACCATATGTCAGGCCTCACCCCACGTCCCCACAGCGTTGTCTACTCCGGAAGGATTACCATGGATGATCATTTCACCTTGGAAGGCCCAGCTGTTGATCAACTCCAGGTCCTCCTGACACCATCTGCAAAGATGATTCTCATTATTGATTGTGATCATCTGCTTGACCAAACCACTGGGAATTCTGAATAAATGGTTGGTTGGTGACCAACACTGAGATGATACTGTAATAGAACTGTATGTCACATAAACATTCATTCATTCATTCATTTTCCGAACCGCTTGATCCTCACTAGGGTCGCGGGGGGTGCTGGAGCCTATCCCAACCGTCTTCGGGCAGTAGGCAGGGGACACCCTGAATTGGTTGCCAGCCAATCGCAGGGCACACAGAGACGAACAACCATCCACGCTCACATTCACACCTAGGGACAATTTAGAGTGTTCAATCAGCCTACCATGCATGTTTTTGGAATGTGGGA